ACAACAAAACCAAGTGGTTACTCTGTTATGCTGAATGGGATGATTCATTATAGTAAAAAACCATGCAAGACAAGACTATATAAAGCACAAACAACAAAAAAAACCCCAACCTTTTTTTCTTCAAACACCTTACAAATGAAAAAATATTGAGAATAGCATTGAGAATTATTTTTATGGGATAGGAATTTGGGTTATATGTATAGATATATACCTATACATTCAAATAGATACAGATGCATGACATAATTAAGGTAGTTGCATTCTAGCCAGGAACAGCTTTCTCAGACCTTGTAACACTATCCACAAGAATACTCAGAACTTGAAAATCAACAGTACGCTGCTCTGAACGAAGAAGTTGTTGGTGCCCCATTACTGGATGTGGTCATGACTTCAGGTTGCAGTTGCTACATATATATACACATTTCTACACTGAGTATGTTATGCTCTATTTCATTTTCTATATTACCTGAAAGACATTATCATGTTACTGATAAACTTAGTGGACATTAGATCAAGGAGGACATCATTACTAAGTCAGTATCAAAGTACCACGTCACATTTAGGGCAAAATTTTAGCAAGTTTTTCAAATGACACCTGCAGAGGACATTTCCATTTAAACTTATAGATTTGTGTATCTCATTTAGGAAGAGGAATCTATGCTCAAGATAATCGCTCAATTGCATTTTTACGTGATCGTATAATTATTTCAATACGTGGTCCCAACCCAGAGAAAAACACACCCACACTTTCACAGCCAAGCAAAAGAGATGAAAAGGGGAACAGAAAACAAATAAAATACACAAATCTGCATAATAAAGAAGAGGAAGATGTATTCAGGGCATTCATGGCTGCACAGTATAAGAAATAGAAGAAAATATAAGATACATAAGCAATAAGAGGAAAAAAAAACAAGAAAAAGACATTCTATTAGCATGATGCAAAAAACTCTGACAGTAAAATGTGTGCACAGATGTGTATGTATGCATAGCCACCCACACAGAATGATAAATACATTCAGTTTTATTTAGATGTAAGCTAATAATGAAATATGGAATATGTAAGTAAATGCTGTTACATTAATTACATTTTACAAGGATCATGTAGCAATAGGACAGGGGAGAAGGGCTTTGAACTGACAGAGGGTATGCTGTGAACTTACATATGTAAACATAAGTAAGAACTTGTAACCACAGGATAATTGGATATAACTGTGTTCAATCGCAGCTCTGAGTCCCAGCTCTAAATAATAATTAAAATGCTCCTGAAGCTATTGTAACTCCAGATATCTTTGAACTTACCTAACATGTTTAAAGGTATTTTCGTGCCATCGAAGAACCAAAAATGTGAGCACCAAACACTCTCCAGAGTAAAATATGAAAGTGCATAAACAGCAATCACCCAGTATCTGTGGGAAAAAAGGACACAATCAAAACGAACACAAAAAGCTCATTACACACAAGTTTCTCTTTAATTATCTATACAATTAAATCAATAGCTACTACAATTCAGATTAAATAACATAATGTTGTCATTCAGAAATGTAAGGACTGGCAAGAATATTAAAAGGCTAGATAAACTCTGATCTGATCCAGTAGGGCTGTTCTTATGTTGTCATTAAAGGTAACATGACCTGAACTATTAAGTTTACACACAATACCAAATGGGCAGCCATTGCTCTCAAAATTCAGTATAGCTTCTCTGGCTCTAATTTAATTAGGAAATTAAATGATTGCTTTAGGGTTTATTTTTTACCTCATTCTGTATGAAAGCAGCATGCAATCCAACTTCTTTTTCTTCAGTAGAAGGCAACATGACTGATTTATCAGGTAAAATTTGCGTCCAACGCCCAGAAGAAGAGTTTTTATAAGAGGATGTATTTTCATGTTCTGTGCTCTCCCACAAAAAGACACATGCTGTAGGAGTAGTTAATAGTGCCTTTCTGCCATCTCCAGATACATACAAGTACAACCTCATTAAACACTCTGGGGGAAAAAAAAAACCAAAATCAAAAAAACAACAAACAAAACAATGTGTTATGATAGTTTCTGTTCCTTTGTTAGACATAGAATGAAAAACAATAGAGAAAGGAAATTTCTTTTCTTGTCTATCACAAGAAATCCAAGTTGCCACCTTAAGTATCTTCCATTTCCAGCTTCACCAGTGATAGCAGCCCTTGGGCAGCTATGTCAGAAGGGATGTCCATTTTTATGCACGTTATGAGTTATCTTTCCCACCAGACCCAATCATCAGAGATGTTTCCTGAGATTGCCTTTCTTGAAACCCATCTTTCATGAAAAGAAGCAATAAATGTGTAAGTGCTCTACTATGTATTACCTTTAGCTCCTAATTGCACCACTAATCTTCCCTGAAATGGCAGAATTGCTTGTACAATACCTCACTTTACAAGCTGGTATCAGTGATATTTCCAATACATGATAATATTTGATACTTAAGTTTGCAAATATGTGCCTTTATTTTGTTCTCTCCAGCTAGCATTTGTCATAAAATCCCACTTACAGAACAAGCTTCAAGTTATCCATATACTGTTTACATCAGATGTACATCTGCTCTGAAGTATTAATAACCTAGTCGGGAACCGAACAGCTAAAAACTAACGATTAAAAAATACACTTACAGCTTTTGAAAATTAATTACTACTTAAAGGGGATTACTAAACACAAATACTTGTAGCATTCAAATGACAAAAAAGACACTTGCCAAAGTTGAGCTAGCTTACAAATTATACACATGCAAAACAATGGGAAAATATAGCTTTACTCATGAAATAAGATTTAAGGAAAAGAAAACAATTTTCCTTCTATTCCATTTTTCACAGGATTAATTGAAAAAAATCTACCTTGTGCTGCTGCCACTACTTTCCTGGACTCTTCAATTGCTGGCACAATTTTCAAACAGTCCCGATCTTTATTCCAAAGAAAGAGCTCTCCTGTTGTAAGTATTCCTGCCAACCAAGCAGCTGTGTTCATTGGGGGAGAGAAGTTTTGAAGGATATTATTGTGAAGTACTTAAATTACTGCTCTTCCATCTTAGCCACAGTTCTAAAGTTGACAGTAAACTGGTAAATCCTTAAGATATTCTTTCTAGACTGTTACAAATAAAAATAAAATAGCATGAACTTATAATACACGAGATATTATACTTAACCGTTTCCTGATGTTGTTAAGACAACCACATTTTTCAACAATGACTGCAGCTGAGGGATTTTCTTCCTTGTCTTCCCTGATACCAGGTTAATTTCATTTATATGTTTACCATCTAGAAGAAAAATAGCCTCTTTTTCCTGTTAAAAGAATAAAAGAGCATTTAATTTTTTAAAATGTTATTTTCTACATAAGCCTGTAAAATAATGCACGCATAAAAAATATTACAGTAAATAATAATAAAAAAAATTTGTTAAGAGCTGCAATTGCCATACTAACTTCATTCTTTGGCATATCTGCTTTACGGTACAACATCATATCTAGCATCAACCTACAGATGAATTTGATTCACAGGTTTCAAACTACCAAGTTAATTTTACAGTCATTATTAAAAACTTCTTCAAAGTAACTCTATGTGCTAAAAAGATAATAAAAATTGGACGCAATCTATCTTGTCTTGTAGTGTTTAATTTAGTGAGATATTTGTCAGTGATTCCAATTAAAAAAAAAAAAAGAATTGGCCTCAAATTACTACCTACTTAAATTCCAATCACAGATGAGAAAAAAAATTACTCTTGTTTTATTGAAAAAGTCTAAGAAAGCACGTCTTTCAACACATGCAGGATGCAATGGGGAAAAAGAAATTGTTCACGTTTCCCACAACATTCTGTAAAAAGTTATGAAAAACTAGAACCACCAAAACAACAATCTCATATAAGCGACAGGTCTTTTGTGAAGGAAAACAAACAAAAAAAGGCTCTGCATTGTTTCTCTGAGAAATCTTGAATCTCCAAGCTCATGTCAATAGGATAAAAACCCAAGCCATTTATTTTAATAACTCTTAATATGCATTCAAATCAGTTCCTGAGGCTTTTTTTACCTAAACCCTCCTCAAGTAAGTGGAAATGCAAAGTATTATATAATTAGAAACCCTACTCTTAGCAGAATTTTATTTAAATAGAAGTTCATTACACTTACCTGTCCAACCCACGAGATGCGAGGCCACGGTTTTCTTTGCTTGATAGATGTAGAGATGAGAATATCGAGCTTAATCTCCATTCTTATTGAGTCTCTAGGTAACCATTATACAGAAAAGGTAAATAGTGGCTCTTTCACACATTCCTAAAGAATCTGAAGAAAGGAAAAACAAGCAAACAAAAAAAGGACCAGAAGTTTCTGTTATATTGGGGTGGGAGCAGAAGGCAGGAAACCAGGCGCAAACTCTTGACTACAGCAGCTTCCCGCTGAACACAAACAGAGGTGATGCTTACCCAAACTCTATTTTCACTTTGGCCGCTTACGGGCGATGTGCTGTTCAGTCGTGCGGGTTATTACACGGTCGTTCAGGTGTCGAGAGAGAGAAGTCGCAAGACAGAGTACATTGCTGAGAACTCTAAAAACACAGAAAACGGGGAAAACGCCTCGCAGCCTCCTAGGGCAGGGGATCAGGAATGCCAGTGGCTGGGACGCCCCTGGGAGGGCCGACCGCTCACCCGCGCCTGGGGACGGGAGAGCGGCACCAGCTGCCCCCACCGCCTCCGTGCGCCATCCTAGGGAACCCGCTCTGTTTGTGCGAGCTCCTCCCTCGGGAAACGAACAGCGGGAGGAGCGGCGGCCCAAAGCGATGCTCACTCGGCACAACAGCCGGAGCCGCAGCGCTGGGAGAGCCCCGATCTGGCGGCCCCGGTTCCGACTCCTACTCCGGCTCCGGCTCCGGCTCCAGCCCCGGCCGCAGCTCCAGCCCGCGCTCTGCCCCGCTGCCCCCGCGCCGCCGCAACCGCCGGGGCCGGGCCAGAGCAGGGCGCAGCCGCAGCGCCGCCCCAGCACTGCCCCCGCCCGCGTAGCTCCGGAGGGATGGGCCCGGTGGGATGGTCCAGGTGGGAGGGTCCTGCCGCACAAGGGCGGATCTTCCTCTGCCTCCCCGAGCCAGGCTCCGCGTACAACAGCCGGCTACCCCTCCACTTCTGAGCCCGCCGGCTTGGCAAGCTGGGTGGGAGCCTCGCTCGCAGCCTAGAAAGCCAACCGTATCCCGAGCTCCATCCAAAGCAGCGCAGCCACCAGGACGACATAGGTGATTCTGCGCCTCTAATCTGCCCTGGTGAGACCCCACCTGTAGCATTGCGTCCAGCTCTGGGATTCCCAACACAGGAAGGACATACACCCGTTAGAGCCGGTGCAGAGCAGGGCAGCGATGATCAGGTGGCTGGAGCACCTCTCCTACGAAGACAGACTGCGGCTGTCCAGCCTGGAGAAGGCTCTGGAGAGACCTCATTGTGGTCTTTCAGTAATAAACAGGGGCTTAAAAACAAGGGGGGGGGGGGGGCTTTTTACAAGGGTGGATAGTGACAGGACAAGGGAGAACGGTTTTAAACAAAAAGAGAAAAATTTTAGATTAGATGTTACAAAGAAACGCTTTGAGGGTGGAGAGGCACTGGCACAGGTTACCCAGAGGAGTTGGGGCTGCCCCATTGCTGGAAACATGCAAGGCCAGATTGGATGGGGCTTTGAGAAACCTGGTCTAGTTGAAGATGTCCCTGCCCATGGCAGGGGGTTGAACTATTTGACCTCTAAGGTCCCTTCAACACAAACCATTCTGTGATCCTAAAAAGACTGAGGGGGGTGTGAGTGAGAAAGTGGCTGATACTTACTTGCCAGCTGAGGTTAAACCATGACAACGTGAAATACAAGTTCTGTGAGCAGTCACTTTGTTTCATCACTTTGAAGAAATGTGCTTGATTCCCTTAGAACAGCTATTCTTTCAAACTGCCTCGTTTCTACCTTCCCCTACCTTTCCTTAGTCACAGTCTTGACTGAGAATTAGTAACACTGACACAGAAGGAAAACAGTCCAATAAAAGTAATGATACATGTGTTCATAATGTTAATGACAACTGGTTCACATTCATGTTAGTCAGTTACTTCCTTCTAATTGTCACTATTTATTTAATCTACCACATTAACCCACCCGTCTCCTCTGATCTTAGTTTTTCACATCCCTCCAGATTTAAAATGGGAAACAACCTACCCTTTCTCCACCTGAAAGCTGAGCAAGTGTTATGAAAACAACAGGTAACGTCTACACTGCAATTACCTCCTGTCATGTGAAAAATATCAGAGGTAACTTGTGATACACTTTAAAATACTCTTACTTTGGTAAACTTGTAATGTTGCCAGAGGCATCTTTATTCTATGAACTAGAGAAAAAAAACCCAGAAGTTGAACCTCCAGTCTGTGACTTGTGACTGTTCCCAACTCTTCCATTAGTTCTCCAGATCTGAGAATAGAAATCTGCTTACATATATTACAGAATAACAACATACTTTCATATAAATATTAAAATTTAGTCAAATACATCAGGCAAGACTGTGGACATCATTTGTATGAAGCAAACTGCACTAACTTGACCAGTGTAAATCCATATCCCTTGTGAAACAAAGCTATTACCAGCAAGTAACTTCTAATCTCTAAAGATAGTATATTTTACATGGAAAGATGCAAATCTTTTTCCCAGGACACACAGGATATCCTCTATGTAAATACTTCGTAAGGAGATTTTAACACTGCCAAAGGAAAAAGCTAATAGTAATACTTCACATTTATTTTGATCTAAAGAGGTAAAAAAAATGCATTTTAATTTATAGATTACTTCCCTGAGTGTATTCTTTGGCTTAAAATCATCAGAATGCATCTGTTAGGTCAGAGTGAAAGAAATGTACTCTAAGTAGAGTAATTAGATCTTGTAGAAAAGGCTCTGTAGAGCACTCATTTATCATGTGAGGAGCAGAGGGATTGATGCCCACATTCTCCAGCACTTTTCATTCCTCTCAAGGCCCTTGGTGGGGGTCACATGTCCTCTAGAGGCACTAGGAGGAACAGAGTGGAGCAGTGGAAGTGTGCTGAGCCCATAACACAGTGGTCAATGGATTAAAACCATCCTCTGCTAATGGATTTTTTGTCTTTCATAAGGCACAAGAGCTAGCAGTCCCCAAAAGCAAGAAGCTGGGCAAGAAATCAGCATGGCAGAGTAGGGAACTGGTGCTAAGACTAAGTAGTGAAGCAAATGCACAATCATTGGAAACTAGGACAGGGCACCTGGGAAAAGTATAGAGATGAAGTACAGCTGTGTAGGAATGAGGTGAGGAAGGCCAAGGAGAAGCTGAAACTGAACATTGTCAAAGGATGCAAAGAATATTAGAAAGGGCTTCTACAGGTATGTGAACCCATGAGGTGCATCACAGAGTCCTGAGGAAATGGGCTGTAGTTCCCAAGCCGCTCTTCATGATATTTGAAAGGTCATGGTGGTCAGGTGAAGTCCCAGGCACTGGAAAAAGGGAAACATTGTTCCCATCTTTAAAAAGCGTAGAAAGGATGATTCTGGGAACTACTGACTTGTCAGCCTCACCTCTGTGCCTGGGATAATCACAGAAAAGATCCTCCCAGAAGCTATGCTAAGGCACATGGAGAACAGGGAGGTGATTCAGAAAAGCCAGCACGGCTTCACCAACCCAGTGACCTTTTGTGATGGAGTGACTGCATCAGCGGACAAGGAAAGGCCTACAGATGTCATTTATCTGGACTTCTGTAAAGCCTTTGACATGGTCCCCCACAGCTGCCTTCTCTCTAAATTGGAAAGATGGATTCGATGGGTGGGCTGTGAGATGGGTAAGAAATGGTTGGATGTTGCACCCAGAGGGTAGTGGTCAATGGCTCAGAGTCCCAAAGGACACCAGTGAGAAGTGACAACCCTCACGGGTCTGTGTTGGGACCAGTGTTATTTAGTACTTTAGCAATGACAAGGACAAAGGGATTGAGTGCACCCTCAGCAAATCTTGAGGTGAGTGGTGCTGTTGACACACCTGAAGGATGGGATGCCATCAAGAAGGGCCTGGACAACCTTGAGAACTGGGACCATGAGAATCTCGTAAGGTTTAACAAGGCCGAGTGCAAGGTGCTGGACCCGGGTCAGAGCAATCTCCAGTATAAGCACAGGCTGAGGGATGAACAGATTGAGAGCCCTGGAGAGAAGGACTTGTGGGTGGTGGTAGATGAGAGGCTGGACATGACCTAGCCATGTGCGCTAACAGCCCAGAAAGCCAAACATGCTCCTTTGTCTGCATCTAAAGGAGCATGGGCAGCAGGTCAAGTGAGGGGAGTCCAGGAATATACACAATTTGGTGTTTGTGTGCATGTAAGGAAAGTAGACAGAAGTCATTTCATGAGTTCTTTATTTGATTTTAACAGATACAACATTTTATTAGAATGGAATAGGGAAAATAATTTGATGAACAATATTAAAAGTTCTTTCACTAACAATACAAATTAGATTGCCAATTTCTGCAGCTTCATCCCAAACATTCTATTTAGAGAGGCAGGCTGTATTTAAAGTGACAGTTATGAAATAATGATTATCTTTGTTATTGTAGTTATGACTGCATCATTACTCCTCTGTATGACCACATTTACAACCTGACTCATCTACATACACTTTTATCACCATTCTGCAGTTGTCATTTCTTGTTTTGATAATTCTAAAACAGCTATCAAGTAGATTTTGCATCCTGATTTTCCTCATTACTTTAAGTAAAATAAAAACATTTTCTAAATATTCTTATCCCCAAGGCAAAGATCAAACAATGAATTTTATTTCAACATTAAAAAAAAGCTTTCTCTTATTAAAAAAATGGTAGTAGTAAAAGAAACTCCATTTGTCACATTTACATTCTACAATTTGTAGATACCTTTAGAATAGCATGAATACATAATAGAAAACTGCAGCAGGAGAAACAGCTTCCTCAGGATTTTTTTCTGAAGATTTGTTCTTTCAGAGATTCAGTGCAGTTTACATTACCTGTACTAACGATTCTGTTACTGCACTAAGTCAATCAGGGAAGTCGTTCTAACTTGGCCTGTAGAGATTTAAAATTCCCAACAGTTGTCTGAACCATTAGTGTCGGGCTCATAGACTGAAGTTCAACCAGGTAGCAACTGACAGCATCCAAGCAAACATTTGTGAATCTCCGCCTGTTAAGAAAACACAGAATAATAACAAGCTCCTTTTTGATCCTGTATATTAGAATTAACTTGAAATAGAAAGTGAGCATTCTTTCAGTTTCAATGGAATAACACATCAAGAAGACATCTGTCAGCTACTTTTAGTTTTCAACTATTTATTAGAAAAAATTATTTTTGAAATCTAATGCTTGTGACTACAGTATAATGGGAAAATAAATGAACCATTACTTCTTATTGGATATTAAACATAAGCTATAAAACACAATACAGTTATTAGCAATACAAAATATTTAATATTTAGATACTACTTTATATATGAATACAGTAAATGTATTAGTTATTAATTTAGATAGCAATTTAAATAAATTAGAATCAAATCTCAGTTTAGGTATTCTAATAAATTAGTGTATTTAAATTGGCAAATCATAGAAGACTGATCAAGTGAGAAAACATAGAGGTTAACTGTATGTGGACAGGGGATATTTACATGTATATTTTCAAAAGAATAAGAAACGTTTATGTTTAGAAGATTTATGAAGACTTTGCCTAGTTCTGCTCATTATTTTTGAGACAAGATAGCTCTGACTGAAGCTCAAATTGAAGCTCTCCTATTCAAACAAAAATTGTCAAAGCTAGAGATGATATATAGGCAACTTATTCAAGTACTTAGCTATTTTTTCACTGGAAACCTTTTTTAACATTACACCCACATTTTTGCCTGGTGTGAACTAAGCTGAATTTTAGTCTTGGAGACTGCTTCATCATCAACCTCTTAAAAACAATTTGGAAAGATCTATCCCAGTGTTGAGTCTTCTCTTTTCCAGAATAACTCAGAGCTTCTAGAATTTCAACATGAAAAAGTTCATTTTTTAGTCACAAAACGCCCTTTTCTAATTTTCCTCCCACTTTTCCCACATTGCCTCAAATTTTTCCATAATACTCCTTGAAGTATTTTGCCAAAAATTTACAAAATAATCCTCTCAATTCCTCATGGATCTTCAGTGAAGTGAAGAAAATTAACTTTGTTGTAGCAGTTTATACGGAGAACCCTAAAAGTTTCTAACAAATGGTTTTGAATGAAGAGTGCCACTGCCAGTAATCACTGCTAGGAATAAAATACTAAATTCACCCAAAAGAAAAGAAGAAAAGCTTTGGGAATTGTTGAAATGCAGTATTTTAGAGTATTTTATATCTTCCACTTTTTATTAGGATATAGTTGCCCTTCTTACCTCATAGCTACTCTGCTTGGATCCTGTACGTATCCTGATAGTAATACATGAATACATTCTAAGAGGTGTAAAGGCTTTTTCATTCTATTCCAATATGGGTCCTAAAAAAAAAAAATCCAAAATATTAAGGACAAAAATAGTAAGGACACAAGAAAAAAAAAAGCGTGTGGTACGTACAAAAAGTGCCAGCTGTGGTAATTATTTATCTTAATCTACATTATATCTATATTAAAGTAATATTTTAAGCACTAAAACATACATGAATTTAACTCAGTTTTCCATTACTAAACAGTCTGTAACATAAGAGATTATAAAAAGTTCTGAATTTCTAGGAATCTGGGTAAAAAGAAGCCAATCAATTCTTTGTTTATTACATCAATGGATCAGACAAACTGCAGTAATACAGCAAATTTTAATCATTATTAGAAAACAAAATTAATATGTTCAATAGATGCTATTCCTTCTGCAATGTAAGAATTCTATTTCATGCTAAATCTGCTCTAGGTGGAGTAAAAGAACTAAAAAAATTTCCTCATGCTCTAGGATTGAAATGAATAGAACAAACAGGGAGGGGAAAATGCAGCTTTAACAGTCTTTAAGTAAAGAAAGCAAAACTATGAACATGATATTTGACTATATTCCACCTTACATTACTTTATGTTTCCCACTAAAGACAGACCTTGATAGCAACTGAAAACAGAATTTCTCTTTTGTGCTACTTTCCTTACCCGTGCTTTAAACAGTTGGTCATATACTTCAAGCAGCCTTTGCAATGGCACTCCAATTTCTTGCATGGTGTATGTTACAAAACCTACATCCCAGTTCAAAGAGCAGACCTGTTGTTCTAGAAACTGCACTAAAAAATCTGGAGGACAAAAAGAAAGGTAATATTTAGATTGCAACTTGTTAATGGGAATCTTTCAGAGAAAGGCATTTAAAAGTAATTTATTCAAGGTTAATTTTTCTTTCTTCCACACAGTTGGTACCTTTCTCCTGTGAAGCACATGGAACAGGTTCCCTCAGTCTACACTGAGGGAAGGCTACACAAAACTTAACTACCTGCAAAGATGGTATTAGGCTATCAGCGAGGCATGGCAGGGATTACTTACACCAAGGATTTTGTTACAGTTTTGCCACGCAACTATGCTGTCAAGAAAAAATTCATTAATTTTTTTTTAGCACAAAACACATACTACCATTACATTTGCTAGAACAGCCAGCAACACTACTAGAGCTTTTATCAGGTTTTAGTATCAATAACAATTAACAGTGTGTTGTTTAGCACTAAATATTCATACTGAATGTTGTTGCACAGTAGTTTAGTATTATAAAAGAAGACTGAGTGCTGAACAATACATTTGCCAGGTTTTTCTATAATACCAAGTTGTCAAAACCTGTGAGAATTTCAAAAGCAGAAACTCCAAAAAGGATCCAGAAATTTCCTGAATTCTGTTTTCAGAATTTGCCCCTTCAGACAGCAGCAGATATTTCAAGAGATAGCAGATAAACGTGGTTGCCTAAAACCTAATTTTATATATAAATACACACTTTTATGTCACACTTAGATAGAAACAAACTTTACTACTTTCTAAAATGGGATCTGCACAGCCATATAAAATGCTACCGCCATCTAAACTTCATTTACTTCCTGTTTCTTTTAGGATTAAAACAGACAAATTTCTTAGTTTAAAACTTTGTTAAAAGGCTAAAAAGAAAGCTGAAACCCATTCACGTAACATGTATGCTTGTTCAGTATGCAGGCTAAACAACTTGCCTAGAGGAAAGTAACGAGGTGTGCCAGCATATATCTTTCCAAGCAGTGTCAACTTCAGACAAAGTGCTTGCATTCTGTCAGCAGGGCTCAGAGCCACACTATCACTCAATTCTGAAAGTGGAAAGAAAACAGAGAGAACTTCAGAAAATACTATTGTCAATACAAAATCAGCACATGGAAGTGAAAATACAACTTTTTCAAGTGTATATTCACAGATGTTTACATTTCATTGAAGTTCCATGCAAATCTACTTAAAACACAACCAAACAAAAACACATCCCCAAACCCCACAACAAACTCACTACCACATAGCTTTTCCTTCAAAACCCTGTTGATGTTGTTTGCACAATGGCAAACTCAAGCCCAAAATCCAAGGGGGAAAAACCACAAAACAACCAAACAGGAAGAGAGAGTGAATTACTAACTCATGGTAAAAGATTGTCACAGCTGAGTGGCCAAGCTTGCAGAGCTGTGCCCACTACTCTGTTCCTCTATAAATGGACAGAAACCGTACACTTCCACTCCTGTCAACATTATGCATGCAGAATTTTCTGAGGGTTTTTTTTTAATTTTTGTCATTATAAATTTATTTATATTTTAACATTTAATTTACACTTAACATTTTTATTACAATGTCTTAACAGTGAAATCTTCACACAGAATTTCACACATATTCTGAAGTTCACATATAATGGAATCATGGGATGAAACTTTTGAAATGTTATCTGCAATGTGATTATTCAAGCCTTATGCACAACATACTCGAACACATGTAAAAATATCACTTTTCTGTCCTTTAGGCACAAAACCCAAAGGTAATAATGTTAATTAATTACTAGTTACCTACACTAAAGAAATATATTACAGAACAGTCCAAAAAAGATGCATCTCACTTCGACAGCATAACAGCAGCAGCATACTCAGTTTTAAAAGCTATAACTGTACCACTTTCCTATAGTTCTAGTTTGTACCACTCCTAGTCCACTAAGACCTACCTTTTTCAATGATTTCTTGCCAGAGAGTCTGCACCAATATAGGGTCAGAATGACCTGCACAATGTATAATTGCAAGCTTGCACTCCGAGAGCTTAAAAGGGTCAGCAAATTCTCCATAAAGCTGAAAGAAAAATTACCGGACTTTATATTTCATTTAGGTTAAAAAAGAAATGCTAAAAGTCAGCTGTTCCTTGTGTGGTAGACATTCGATTAGCTGAAGTGCAACTTAAGTAATTGTTGTCAATCACTAATTTTTTTGCTACATTTAGTTTCACTTCTTAAACACAATCCCAAATTTTATATGAAGTTAAAATTCAAACTGTTAAATTTTCAACAATTTTACCAACAAAGAGACTTAATAAAGAAGATGAACATGTAAAAGAAACCAAGGTACTGAAGGCTGAAAGACTATCAAAGTACAGAAAAAGACAGTGTAGGGTAACAGACATTCTGAAACCAGGAATGCTAAACTGTCTATGACTTTTCCTAGTCAGCATAGGATCATTCTTTGTAAAACACTTTTTCCCCCCAACATTTTATAAACCGAATTTTAACACAGGGAAATTTCAATCACCTTGGTTATATCCATCAGCTCAGCATCAAGTTGGGAGATTGCGTCTTGTACTGAAGAATGATGGGAATACTGACGCTGTAACGTTTCTTGTATTTGAAGCTGGATCCCTGCAACCTTGTTTAAAATGGAAAATACAGTATTTCAAGTCTGAAGGAATTTAATCAGAGTTTAAGAATACACCCAGAATAAAATTTAACTTATTTAAATGCAGAAATGTTACTGCCTTACACCACTGAATCTATTATCATATCATATCATTATTATCTATCAACTGCATAACTTTGCCATACCAGGAAGACAGCACAGAAATCAGAACTGGTAATAAAAATGTCATGTGCCAATGAGACAAAGTGAAATAATGCATTTGTGGTGTAGCTTAATTTTTTTTCTTACTTCCATTTTCTCTTCTAGTTCATGTAGGAATTCACCATCTGCAGCTATAGAGGATATGGCCGTGGAACTTTTGGCACTCAAAATGGCACGTGCAATGTATTCAAGACGCTGCTGAAGAGAAATTTCTGTGCTGCAAAACAAATATTTCAAACAGGATGGGTACTTTACATAATTATTTGAGGATTAGTTACATTTTAACTTGACCTTGGGAATTAGCATGTGGCTTTTCCTGATTTTACTAAATTGTGCAGGATATGGTCCATCCATGTAACCCCACCTTTGCTGCAGGCTCAGTTCTAATGTATTTCTTAACTCATTGCTCCAGTTAAACTATTGCATTATAAAAATCTGTGTAAGAAATGACCACTTAATATACGGTACTTACAACACGAAATACATAGCAAACTCATGTATAATACATAAAATAAACATTACAATTTCTTTCCAATAACTGTCTGGATTCAAAGCTAATATATTCTATTAAATTTTTTTAGAAAACCTCCTTGGGCATTGGCATTTTCTTGTCCTTGGCCTTTTCTTAAGATACCTACACATAAGGTCTTGATTTTAGTTTGTTTGATTTTTACCTAGTTACCTCAGTATATGCAATAGATCGCACATAATCCATACCTATGCAGGTCAGCCAACTTAGCCAAGACTCTGGCAGCATTACTAAAATTCCTGTTCTTCTCAAAGTATCTCCACAGTAAATCCATATAGCGAACTTTGTTTTGGTCAATCTTGGTCATCCGCACCAGGTAAGGTTCCAAGAAGGGGGCAGTAACCTGCAGAAATCATAAAGAGAACATTTATACTCTTGCTCTTCCTCGTTTCTTTAAAGCACTCACATTGTTACAATTAACTCTTCTAGTTCGCTGTCTGTAGATGAGCTCACCTGTAACAGTTTGTCCGCCAAGTCAGCTTGTATCAACCAGTTGTAAAGTGCAATACTGAAGAGTTCATCTGTAGAACGCTGAGCCAGCTTTAGCATTTGTTCAAACTAAGGGAGAGAAAGGCCAAAGCTGTTATTCCACATGTGGTTACATTACATTAAGCACTGAATTCCTATGTGACAATACTTCGGTACATGTTATTTGTGCGTCATCATTTCTACAGATTGTCTAGATATAGAAGCCAATTCATGGCAAATCTTCACTTTGAACGAATCCATAATTTTATTAGAACGATAAATTCTATACCCCTTCAAATCACACTATTTTCTGGAGTGCAGCCATGACTTTTTTGTGAGTTTCTTACATGGTGCCCTGCTTCTTCGTTGCTTAGCATGTTGGGGTCAGATGACAGCACTGGAGGACCTGGCTTTTTGGGTACACTGGGAGACTGAGGAGCAGCTTTACTCTGATTCACTAACTCTTGAAGGGTGTCAGTGATACACTTGTAGCTGTTCAATCTGTAAACAGAGCAAAAGAAAAGTCTCATAATTTTCATTGCAACTATCTATGAAAGATTATTCTCAAGTGTTGTTATTGTATGACTTTGTAGACAGTTACTAAAATTGAAAAATGTCATAGATCATTTTAAGATAGTTGTCACAATCTAGTTTATTCTCATTTATATTGCTAACAAGTATTTCTATAATGTTCAGATCACAATGTTTTCTGCATCTATCATTTTAGGTGTTGTTCTTATGAAGTTGGTGCCATATTAATAACAATCAAGGGGAACATACTGGATAAAAACATTTCTACTGTGTCCCTTACCATAAAATGCTTGTTTTGTTATTACCTTACACAACTTCCCTAAAAGAGCTACTTTTCCAGTCACTTGAAATAAAGCACCCCATATAATGATAATAAATTATCCTGAAAACTTGCCTCTCTTGGAAAGCCTGGAGTCCAACAACATCCTCTTCTGGTTCTTCATTTTTATAGAAATGAAGGCCCAGACCCTGGGGATCTTTTTTCTCAGCAGCTGTAAGACAGAGTTCTACTACTCCCTCATAGAAACGCACTAGGAAAAAATCAAAACAATTATCACTGTTCAATATTGTAGTAAATCTACAACAAAATGGTGATATCAACCACTTCTGATTTAGCAAGTAAGAAAACATAAACACTATTCACTTTATTCTGTATCATACAGAGGTTTACACCTGTACCCAAGCTGTGTGACTTACATGCAAGTTTGAACTTGGATATGAAGTTACATCAGAATGTCCTGCACAATGTGTAACACTGTACAGAGGCTGAAATCTTAAATATAGATCTAACTGTCATGGTTTTAAATTACTAGCTTCTACTGCACTGAACAGGGGTCAGAACCATCTTTCCAACAGCTTATTTGGTATAAAACCTTACCTGAAACCACATATAGCCCAAGAATTTGCCTAAAAATATTATAACCACATATATGAAACAAATGGACACTGCAATATTAAATAAGTTCATGGGAATATTTTAATATAGAAATGGTTTTTTTGGTTGGTTGGTGAACTCTAGAAAGGCTTTAAAAGAACAGGCTGGTACAGTTTAATTCTAAGGGTTATTAACTAACTGTTTATGGTAAAAGGAGTTGAAAGTTGGTAAACAAAACAAACAGAAAAGAAGATAGCATGAAAGGACACTACAGAAACTATTTGACAGAACATGATCAGTAACTGGCTCTTACCCTGCCTATATTGTGCACAAACATTAGCAAGGTCTACTTGATTGCTGATCTTCTGGTACTCTTTCAGTGACTCTCTCAGCATCTTCTCTTTTTCCATTTTGCTCTGAGCCTGTCGAGAGCGCTGAAGAAGTTCATTTGCCTAGAGACAAATCGTGGGAAAATGGAAATTATTCACAAGGGCACATCATGAATACTGGACATAAATCCAAATGGATACTGTCAATGAGTTATTATTCCAAACTTTAAAGCTGAAACAGTAGAAACATCATCCTCTCAAAAGCACTCTCTGGTCACTAAGTTTCCAGCAGAAAGACTACAACAGCAGTAGAGAGAAGGGCTGAAGACTTAACCAAGGGGTTCCCCATTCTCCTCTCACCGGTTCCTTATTTCAAATTTATTTGAAAACCTTCAAAGACCAAATTCCATTAAACTAAACACAATTATCTCTTACAAATTCCATTAAACTAAACACAATTATCTCTTTCAAATTCCACTATGCAATAGACAAAACCCAAGACCCTATGCTGAGGAAGACCTGAAATAAGAAAACATTTTATCAACATAAGAAGACAGATATACATCAGATTAAAAGTAGAGATCGTTTGAACATTACAAATAATTGCAAATGCTTCAAATAATTTTCATGTAATGTTCAGCATTAATCAACTGAAAGACACAAATATGCCCATGACTTCTCGCCTTCACTGTTTTTCGTGCTTCTGAAACTACTTGAGCATAATGACTTACAAGCTGTCCAACTTACCTCGTGTGAACATATTCTGAAGTTGTGTTTTGGTGCAGTAAAATCTGGAAGTGCACTTACCTTGGAACACACAGCATCATCAGTGCTATAAAGAAGAGGACAGATATCTTGCAAATGGGCAATGATGCCATCCACAGCAGCATTATCTCTGATGTAACAGTTTATGAGAGAAGCAATGAGTGCTCCAGTCAACTCTCTGTCTCTAATCACCAAGTCTTTAAAAGCAGTAATCTTTAGCTGTTCCTGAAGTTCCTGAAGATAGACAAAATATCATCAATTTACCAAATCTTTTACTTTTTCTGTTGTTAGAGCAGCAAAATTAATTGTTTCCAGTAATTAAAAACATACAGAACTCCAATGACTGAAGTGCACACCACAGAAATATATTACTTAAAACACACATTATATAGCAAAATGGAAAGAATAATGAAAGCACTAGATCCCTGGATGCCAAAGGCCTCCTCTTAGCAGACTTCCTCTGCCATCTTCACTATGTGTAACCTCTGTTTCAGATCTCTCCAAATAAGAATGGAACTAGTAGTTCCCCTTACTTCATAGGGCGCTGTCAGAATGCACACCCTACAAAATGAGTACGTCGTAGGTTTTAAGAATGAAAACCATTTTATTGTCATAGATTAAAAAAATGACAGATGCAATAAAAGGAGGATTTTGAAAAATTCAAGGTCTGCACACTCTTTATCCTTTTAAAAATAAATTATTTGAAGGTTATTAGTTTTTAATTTAATAGAAATATTTGCTCACATAGAGTTGCTAGTAGTGTCTATGTAGCATCTATAGATGATCGCTAACAGCATAATAACATTACAAAACCTCTAAATCTACTGAAGACAGAGGAAAATTGTTACACAGTTAGTTAACTCCTTGTCCAACACAAGATAAAAGCTGCCCAAAGCTCCCCAATGCAACAGTGTGAAGAATAACAGCTTCTGTGCACCTGTGAGATTTTAAAATTATTATTTTTATGGAAAAAGAATTCAACTTCTCAAATAGTCTGTTTTCCTATCAAGTCCTAGGACAGAATGCCTAGTATTCTAATTAATAGCTTTTTCAAGGGTAGGACACAAATTTGACATTAGCAAAGGGTGCACAGCAGTAGCACCCATAGTTCTGCAAGTTTGCTTCTTTACAAACCAGGAGAGGCTGAAAGAACTGGCATTGTTTAGCCTGGAGGTTCAAGGGGCAGTATGTGGCATCTTACTAATATTTTTGTGAAGGTCTAAAGAAGTCAGAGCCAGACTTTTCTCAGTACTGCTCAGTAAACGGGACACTACACAATGGTCAAAAGCTGAAGCAAAGGAAATTATACTTGAATATAAATCCTTTTTACTCTAAAGGTGGTTCAACACTGCAAGAAGTTGCCCCAAGACACTGTGGAGTTTCCACCTTTTGAGATATAAAAATCCATACTGGACACAGTCCTGGGCAACCTGCTCTAGTTCACCCTGCTTTGAGGGTCAACTAGATTACTCCTCCCTCGCTGCAGAGGGGGTAGACAATTTCCAGTGATTCCTTCCAGCCTCAGCTGTTCTGTGGTACATTCTGGAACCCTACCTATAAAGAAGTGCAAAGACTCTACTACCCTATTGCTCTCCAACTTCCACCAAGACTAAGGCAAAGAGTGAATTCCACTTGGTTGGAAAACATTAGTCTACCCTTCTCAGCACATTTTCCAGAATGTGCTTAAGGTGAAAACACAGTAATTTATACAACCAGACTCATTATTAACCATCAATATAAGTAAAACATAATTTATTTTAGTGACACCTCCAATTTCATAAAATTGGGTGATTAAGTCAATACTAGATGTCACACTCTTAAACACTTGCGACCTGAATAAAAATCTATATGTGGTTTAAAATTAATATAATAGTCCTTTGAGAATAACTTAGGTAGTAAAGGAAATTCAGGAGATCAGTATAAACAAATTAAAATTATATGATCCAGATCTTACCTTCTGAAGCTCACCTACAGCAACACTGAATTGGTGCTCACATAGTAACTTCCACAAAGCCAATGCCTGGCAGGTTTTGCGAACAAGCTGTTGGATGCCTTGAAGTGAAGTCTTCTCAGTTAGCTGTGCCTCAGCTGAA